GTGGGATTTTTACATACATTTGGTACACTCAAGTAAAATAAGTTCACACAGTGCGGATCAGGCCTATCAGCATCAAGTAAATATGTTTGTATATTACAGTATATCAACGTTTTATAGCTGGTGTGGTGACATTCCTGCACTGGTGCACCTGTGTCAATGCATTTCGTAGGTTAAAGCAACAATGCGTATAGTGGGAAAAGCTACCAAGTTATTCAAAGTTATGCCAAATGAAAACAAAGCTTCAATTTCAGAAGATGGATTTGTGTTTAAGTAATTCCTCTCACTGCCAGAAGGGGGAGGACAAAGTTCCTCACTGCATGTTCAACACCAGGCTGGAAATCTGTGTCACGTAAAAGCTCTGACCCTGATAGAGTTCAGCAAATACAAGATTTTCAGGAAGCTACTGTTGAAGGCCTCAGTCATAATTCTACTCCAACATGAATCCCATTGTTATGATAAATGGTCCTCTAAACCTGCAAAAGCTGATTATATCAGAGAGTGATCAGGGTTAAACTCAACCAGAGCCTTTCATAGAGACAGCTACTACTACACAGCAACTCTGAGCTCAACAACAAACTAAATTGGAAAAATTATTCCAGACTGTAAAGGCAAAAGCAGCAACCACGATGCCAACACAATGCCATACATCATTTGGAGAGGTGTTTGCGCCCATTTGACAAATCCAAAACCAACATTTACCATCATTTTAGCTCTGTTTTTGGTCTCCACCAACCCCTCAGAGAGGCATCCAGCTCTTTCGTTGCTCACTTTCTTACCAACTCGTTGCTAACTTGATCTTTGGTGCTGGTCAGGAAATTTCAGAAAAAGAGTATCATGAAGCTGTTGGATACAGGATCGATAGAACTGCTGAGACTGAAACTACAACAGTAAAGTTGCGGATATTAAAACCGAAACAGCTGTCAGAGAGACACCAGGAAGCTGCACAGACCTGAGGGTAATTGTGAATCTTTACGAGTGACTTCTTTCCCATAGATGCCGACTTACAGTATGATTGACGGATAATATATAAACACAGACTCCAGCAGCTTTAAGGGTGGTTTCACCAAAGTATAGATGTCATAACATATTTGGCAAAAGTGCAAAGTACCCATGATTAAAACCTTATTTACTGTATTTCCTTGTTTATGGTAGAGGGCGGCCTTGTTCCTTCTCTAGTTGCAGTAAATAAAAGCCATTATTTCAGAATTTACAGTGCAATGTGCGGCACTGACTCCTCTCCTCTCTGTACTCAATGTTCCCTTTGCTCGGGGCTTTCTTGTCTCTCAATCAAACCCACACACATACACCTCATCCTTTCTCAGTTTCCCCCCCTGAACAATGTTCCTTTCTTGCTGCGCTGTTTCTTTTTTGTCTGCTGCGTTTTGCTTTTGAATCAGGGCTTCTTTTCTTTTCTCGCTGCATCTCTGTTCCTCTCAGACAAACATATTGTTTCCAATTTACAGAGAACTGGTAGAAAAAAAACTAGGTGTGAAGCCAGCACACCTACACGAGTGTCCTCCATCAAATACAGCCAATGCAATGATATGAGATGAATATAGATATACGGCGGACACATTGTAGTCAAACATATGATGGATCCTATGGATGGAGAGTTACTGTCTCACTATCCTCCGCTGGCTTCATCTTTAATTTCCATCTCGCTGTTCGCCTTTGTTCTCGGCGCTTGTCTCACAGTTTCAGTCTTCATCTGTGTGACTAAGGTTCCTCTGATCTACAACATATGAGAAACAAGGAAAAAGAATGGACTCGAATTCTGGCAGTTTTGGCACGCTTTCCCAAGAGCGCAATCCTGCTCAGTGTCACAGCAAATCTCGGAAAAAGATGTAGCCCCTCTGAAGTTCCACTCGCCTACCTGTCTTCATCTAGCGAGTGTGTGATCTCCTTCTAAGCTTATCAGCGCTGCTCCGGGGTGACTTATTAACTCGTACCTTACACCCACAGCCATTTTTTTCCTCCATACATGAACAGCACATAATGACTTTACGTAAATGGTGCAACATACGTGATACTAGCGGAGCCGTGTTGAAGCTGCGAGGAAGATGTTAGGTGAGTTTGCCTCAGTTTCAAAGAGCGGATTCTTGTTGGGTGACATAAGAAGAAGCTGTGAGAGGATCTGCAGCCGAACAGCTTCCCACTGATTGAGAGCAGATGCTGTTGAAAGAATCCTTTCGGGAGGAAAAAAAAAATAACTCACAAAAACTGGCTGGAACTCTGTCAGCTGACCGCATTTTGGAAAGATAAATCTAATTTTTTGAAGTGTATTTACATTCAGAGCCATCACGCTACACTGCATGTCTCAGGAGGGGGTTTTCCTCTTCTGCCAAGTGGCCAAGAACAGTGCTGAGAGGGGTAGCCCACCTTTGATATACGTGCTGCATCTGCTGTTTTTACATTTTCTACGTGCAGCAATCGGAAACATGTGAGAGGTTCATCTATGTTGCATACATGAGGGCCAACAAAAAATCATCCAGCCACAACTGTTTGTAAAATTAGATTTGTTGTCAGCTCAAACAACATTAGCTTCACATCACCTTATTCCCCGCTCATGTCTGCTCCACTTCGTGTGTGTCTGTTTCCATGGTTTGACAGACCGGGCACACAAAGATTGGATCAAAAAGAAGCTAAATAAAGTAGCAGCGGGCAGTAGCAAAACAAAACAAGTGCACATACATTAGGCGAAAAATATAGATGCTATCTTAGTTTTTTTCCAGTGCAGTGTGGCAGATTGCTCTCAGTCTCTTTATAAATGCTGGTTGGTGTAACAGTTTCAAAGGGACTGCACACGCAACCGGATCGCTGTCTGCAAAGAAGCTTGGATTGCAACACAAACCGACTCCTTTCTCTGCTTGGGACACTTTTACGGCACTATATTTCTACATAGCAGATCTGTGGCTATATTGATATTGATTTTATTTATGCTCAGAATCTTGTAGTTTGCACCTTTAATTCTGGTCAGTGGTGGAGAAAGATCTCAGACCCAATACAAATAAATGCTCAGTATTTCCAAATATAGTATGCTTAACATAAAAGTCAAAAGTAAAAGTACTTCCTTTCCACTACTGGTATCAGTTTGTGAATTGATTTTGCATCCATGCATCCTAACACCAAGATAATCTGACTCCATTGGCTTGCTGTATATCTACAACTCATCAAATCAACTCTGGCTTAGCCGGGTGAGAGCGGAGATTAACTTTACACAGGGACTGTTTTGAAAATCCGGCTTGGAAAAAAAAAAAAAAAAGAGGACAGGCAGACAAAGAGAGAGGGAGACAGCGCGGATGGATAAACGAACAGGATGACTGGCAGGTGATCAACCTGACGGGCGAGCGGGCCCCAAGAGATTCAGTTGGCAACATGGACACTGCAGATGTGTGTTAACCCCACTGTGTCCACAAACAGGAATGCAGCTACACACACACGGGACTGACAGTGGATTTTATTTTTCAAATCCCTTTTCCCTTGAATACGCGTCACATCCATGCACTGTAAAGTCTGCATATGCAAGATGCTGGTATGTATACATAATTGCACCTGCACCCATCTTTGCATCCACCAATGCACACGTGATGCATCCGCTGCCTTATTGTTGCGATTCTTGTTCTCCCCGTCATCCCTTAAGAGGTTTAGTTTATTTTTATCTCGATGGAGGATAATAACGGCGTCATATTCCTGTTCAAGCAGACCTTTATGCCGCTTCTGCTTTTGTGTGTCATCGTCGTATTAAGGCCATCCATTAAGCCTCTAGTGCTACTACAGCGCGCGCACACACACACACACACACACAAAAGCACACAAATCCCACCATCTATCTGTGTTTACTGCTTGTTTAGTATTTCCTCTAGGTAGTGCCTTCAAATCCTGACTGTAACATCAGAACTGGCTTTTGTTTACACTGCTGCTCAGAAGTGGTCAAAGTGATGTAACACACTGTATCTAGGAAGTTGTTCTTCCAACTGTAGAGTTGAGTAATTTGCACTTTTGACAGCACTAAAGGATTTACCTTAAATGTAGCGGGGAAAAAAAAATATGTGCTATCTGTCTCGGCCTTGCTGCTCCGATGCGCCTACACGCCGTTTTAGCGGCACGCAGGAAATCTTAGCGTTTACCAAGTTTGAGCTTAAATTCATCTGGAAAACAGTTTTGAGCGGGAAAGTGGAGAAGCGGCATCAGAGCGGCTTAAGCACGCTTGGCTTGGCAATAATGTGAAGGTCCTGGAAGTAAAGGAGACAGCTTGTGCCCGGGCAGATGAAAAAAAGGGGAAAAATGGGGGATGGAAGAGGGGAAAAAAAAAGAAAGAAGAAGGGAGGAGCGTGAAGGGACTGACGTGCTGTCACCTGTTTGTCGGTTTGTTCGCCGAGAGCGCTGCTGCGTGCTCTCATAGGGAAGGCTTTTGATGCCTAATTTGCTGCTTGGCTGAGTTTGCGCATGGCTTGGTGCTCAGTGGAGTGGCTGTCCCAGTCACATCCTCTCCTAGAGTAGGATCCTCTGTCGGAGGCTCGGACGGGGCAGGATGAGGAGGCAGTACAGGGATGAGGGGTATCACCCGCGCTCAGAGGTACGTGCTGACTAAAATGCACCTTTTTGAGAAAGGCAGGGAGTTGTTGGGGGATGCTTGTGCAGGGGGGAAGAGTTGAAAGAAAAAAAACACTGCTCAACTTGTTCTTTGCTGCTGTTTCGCACCGAGGAAACTGTCGTGCTTGTTTTTTTCTTGTGTTTTCTAGAATGCTTTAGAACTTTTTCTTTTTTTTTTTAAGTTGTTCTCAGATGTGCTGTGTCTGAGGTTGTCTTATAACTTTTGTGGCTTGTGTAAGCAGAAAAGGCTAAAGGGGAGAAGCTCTGTTGCATTTTTATCTCCCTTTTATTTACGACTCTGCCCTCCCCTTCTGCTTCTGTGCATTTATGTCTCAGACAGTTTTGTTTCATCCCTCACTTTCTCTGTTCTCTCTTCTTTTTTTTTCTTTTTTGTGTGTTTGCTGCAGCAAGCCCTGGACTCCAACCTGAGCAATTTGATCAAGAGGAACAATGAGTTGGAGTCTCTTATGGGGAAACTGATCCAGACTTGTCAGCATGTGGAGGTGAGTCCCGGAGGCCCTGTTGGGTCAACACTGACAAATATTGTGTGTGACTATAAATTTGATCATTTTGCACTGCTGATCTGTAATCATGAATGCATCTATTTTAGTATTTTCGAAATCATGTGACGTCTTGTGTATCATTAATCAAGAAATAGATCATTTAGCTTAGCATGTAGCAAAAGCTAGCAGCTGCACAAATATTAAAAACATATACTTCATATGCAGCACCTTTAAAGAAATGCATGCAATTTCATTTTCAAATTTAACATCACTGGAGCTTGCATGAGCTTTTTGCAATTACACAACACCTGGTGACGTGTTTATTATTAGGTTAATAAAAAAAAAAAAGAAGTGTGTGAACGTCTGCATGTATCCGACTCTACTGAAGGCAATTCTGTGCTAAGCCTGCCCGTTCATGTTACGCTGGCCCACTAAGAAGCTTTAAATAAAGCTATGCCACAGGGTTAAAAGGCAGTGACATCTTCGTTTGGAAATAATGGAGAGCAGCCTCTGTGCTTTGGCAAGGCCTTTACAAACTGCAGGGAAAGAGGATTGTGATTTATTAAAGGAGATTTAATTTTTTTTGATTTTGTGAAGCTAAAGTGCTGCGTACATATTTAGCTCGCGTGTTTTTTGTGTCACCATCACGCAAAGATGCTTTCTGCCAGCCAAGCTGCGGGGCAAATGTTGATGATGCAGGACATTTTTAAACAGCCCTGTTTGATCCTCTTTCGATGGACCTTAAAAAATCTGAAATTAATATATGATGAACATGCAAAGGGCAAAAAAAAAAATGCCTGACCTATTTTCCCCCCCAGTGCATCATCACAACTGCACATACTTTTCACAAGTAAAAAACCTGAAATAGCTGTGTACAGTGATGACATGTTGTCTTTAGGTGCGAAAATGCAAGAAGAAGATGAAAATTCGCTAAAAAAAAAACAAAAAAAAACAGTGATCATGAGCCAAAAATACATGCATAATAAATTCGGTAAATGAAGCTGTCTGACATGCGCATGATGAATGTGACAAGGCTGAAGAGGAAAGAAGGTCACACAGGAAAAGCCTGGCTGGCGTGCGCTCCGCGGAGCTTTCTGAACATCTCACATCAGATTAAGCCGTTAGAAGCTTCCGCGAAGACGACCCGCTGAGGATCCCCGGACCCGTTTTGAGACCCCAGATGTTGCGTCGCGACAACCTTCCTTAACGAGTCATGTTTTAAACAGGGCTGCGAATTCGCATCCAGTTCTTCTGAGTCACCATCTGTGCCGCGGTTGGACTCGGCCCACGGTTTAATGCTCCTGCGCCACATTACGCATGCATTCTTCGTCAGCTGGCATCGCGTTTTGGTTGTTAGAGTCCAAAGCCAAATCATATTTGGAGCCTTCTCCGCTGCCTTTTTGCATGTTGAAAAATAGAACGCCATTATGGTGTCGGGAAGGTACACTGGGGTTGAATTCAAGTGTTATTTAGCAATCACAAGTAGTCAAGGAGGGGTAATTTTAGGCAGTTAGTGGGTTTGTCTGTGAAATGCATTAGAATGAATGATTCCATGCAACACAAACGTACAAGGTTTGGTGCTTTAACTGGAGGAATTAAAGCTGTAAAACAAGGATCTTAAAGTTTACAAAAAGAAGTTTGGTTCATATGCATTTCCAAAACTTTGGATGTCCTCCAGGCTTGAATCATTTGTGTGTCTGTGTGTGTGTGTGTTTCTGTGGTTAAGTGAATCACTTAATGTCCCTGTCAGGCTACAATCTGTCATACTGATCATATGCTCCAGAGGGCTCTGCCCACAGTCATTAGAAGCTCCACATTTGTACATGGCACATCATGTACTCTGGTCACAAACTGTGTGTGTGTGGGCGTGTGCAATAGTGTGGCTACGCTGTCCGATTTATTTCCTGCGTCAAACATTTACACAGTTTGAAGATTAGAATGCTGCGGGGCGCAAAATGTCTTTTGTTCAGCTTTAAAAATGTGTATTCTGAAAGTAGAGCAACCACAACATGTGTGTGCAAGATGGCTGTGTGTGTGTGTGTCCATGCAGCCCTGTGGGTGGCTGCTCCTGAGAGGTGATGTCATTTATTCAGATTGACTCCTTGCGATCCAGAGCCATGAGATGTCAGAGGAAGCAGATCAGAGCTTCGAGAAGCCAAAACTTTTATGACAAGTTTTTGGTTTAATTGTTGTTTTGCAGTTGGAAAACATTCTGAACCCACTGGAACATGAAAAAAAAAGTGCAGTCAAATAAGCTGGACGCTTAAAGAACCGACTTCCAAACATACAGATGAAGCTCAAGAGGGTCTGTACCCTAAAAAAAAAAACCCAAAAAAGAATAAACCCCATTGCTTTTCGATCTGTATACTAATTGGTGTACAAAACGCCACGCAGAGATAACGTATATGCGCGCTTTCCACAAAGTAAACACTTCTAAATCTCAAGCTCCCCCAGAGCTGTCACAGCGATGTCAAAGAAACCAATTAGCGCCGCTGCAAAGACAGATGCGGCGGCGTTGCTATAAAGCAGAGCTAAAGCGTTCGGCTCAGCGTGTCTCACATAAGTACTGAGATGTAATCCAGGTGGCAAATTGTTTCTGTTGGCAAGAAAAAAATCACATAAATGCTGTTTAGGAAGGGACGCCGAGGATATTGTGGAAGTCCTTTCCAGGCTTGTTTGGCTCCGCGCAGGCAAAGCGAATGACTCCCCATGATGTCATTATTAAAACACCTGTCAGCGTCGACGTGTGTTTGCGGGGAGAGAGCGCATGTTTGTATGAATAACTCATGTTGGCTCGGTTACGCTCACAGCAGACTTCCCTTTCATTGCTCCCACTGCTATCGCTTCGCCGAAGTAAGAAAACACTTTACAAGGTGCTGAAAGGGCCGTTAGGAAATGACCACAATGAGAAATTACACATTATGCTCGGGCCCGCGCTCTTATAATTGGACTTGAACAACTTTTATAGGCTGTTTAGACTGTAGAGGTTCCAACTGTAAAGTGAATCAAGTGCCTCGGAGAACGGGCCCTGGCGGTACAACCACCTTGAATGTAATCAACGGCATCGACTGCGCTTTTTTTTTCCTTCCGAGTAAATTAAATCATTTTTATAAAACTTAACTGCCCCCAGTGGGATTTGAGCCAAACAGATGTTTGAAACTGCAGCCATACGAACTAAATATGCCTTTTTTTTTTTCTTAAACACAGCTCAGTTATTACAGGACAAGGCTTTACATTACATCTTTACTTTCGGGGTAGAATCACAATCCACAATCTGGATCACAAGAGATTTAGTGGAACTCGTGATCACATTGTGCATTTGCCTGCCTGCGCTTAAGCTGGAAGCCCAACTCACAAATCTCTGCCTCCCGCTTTTTATTCAGATTTGTTCTGAAAGTTCTGACTGGAAGTAGCGATTCCTATCTCTGCCACTTTGACACATATTGAGTTTCCACCGTATAAGACGAGCAGGATGATTGGTATTGACCTGTACAGCGCTCCTATCAGCGATCACAGAACTTCTTTACTTAAGAGAGAGGAAGCACCAAAGATTAACATGACTCCAGATGGTTGTTTGCTGCACAGACACAAAGTGGTGGTTTCTGAAATTAAAACACCCAGAAAGGGAACATTGGAATTGCCTCCTCATTTATGGATAAACATAACTCTGACAATGCACTGCCAGATGTTACTAAATTACTACTTTCAAATGTGCAGCCCCAACTAACCTCACACATTGCCAGAATGGCAGCATGAAATAAACTATAATGTACATCAAGATAAATTAGTCATCAAGCTGAGCAACGTGCAAAGTGAAAACAACTTAAGCAGAGCACCATTAACCTCAAAAGTAGCTGAAAATATGGCAGAGGAAACTTGCATCGTGTTTGACTTCTACGCAGACGACTGTGTGGAAGAAATGAATCAATAATGTCAACAAAGCACCGGGCACAGAGCTCAGGTAATTAACTACAGTCGTAAACAGTAACTATCTGTATTAACAGTCCACACAATAGGAAGAATTCACAACAGTCACAGAGATGAACAGAGATTCGTTCATGCTGTCGTCTGCCTACAGAATAAGTTACTCCTCTAAGAGGCAGTTTAGGACATTGTGTTTCCTCTAAAAATCAAAAGATCAAATGCTAAATTAAGATCATCCATGATGCACAGCTGTCACATCGCCCACCCCTAATCTTTCTTTGTTCCCATAGTACACAGCATCTCTTGTGTTTTGGTGATACACCCAACAGTTGTACAGTCTGTGCAGAAATACAGTCGTCACATACAAGTGAAATAGTTGTGTTTGCTTCGGACCTAATCAAAACCCACCATGTAGAACAATATTCAAGTGGTCCCTCCGACTGCAAGGCGTTTTCATTACACCAAATTAACAAAAAACAAACTATATGTTCTATGTTACAGGGGCTATGTACAGGCAAATATATCCACAAACAGTACGATATCCTATATTAATGATGTTTGGGGACACTTTCACACCATTAAATGGGCGTTATTTTTTGATGTCATGCCCATAAATGTTACCAATAGGTGCCCTCTTGCACATACTCAAAATGTGCATTATCATCTGTTGTAATCTCTGGTAAACAGAGAGAACCCAGATTGGTGACCTGTGGCAGTCGTGCAAATAAGTACATGCAGTAATCTCCCTGGAAACCTACAAACTGGAGCTTTGTAACATGTGGCTAACAAAACAAAAGGGTGCCTTTGAGCCCAATCCCTTACTTTTTCCTAAACCGAACCAAGTAGTTGTGGTGCCTGAATATAACGAAGCAGCGAGTGAAAACACAAAATTAAAAACAAAGCTAAAGTTGTGATCTGAATAAGGATGTACTTGCATGCCAGCTATTTTTATGCATAACTTAAAAAAAAAAATCATCCAATATCATTTTGGTTATCAGTGGGTGAAAAGTTAAATGTGCCAAATGCTTGATCCCAGTGTTGTCAGGCCAAAATGGCTGCCATGTGAATGACAGTTACTCCTTGGCTACTCCCTTGTTTACTAAGTTGCTATTTCTTATATAAAAGCCACTCAACAAATTGAGACATTCTACTCATTTTACCGCTGTAGAGTTTCAGAATGGCAGCCTTCTCATCTATAGAAACACTGGGGCCTGTTTCAGGGCAGCCCAAACTTTTGTGCACATTCAGATCTCAAGAGGGGCCATTTTCAGGGAAGTGAAAAGTACCTACTCCAGGGTAGGTACTTCTGAATGGTTCTGAAAAGCTGCTCAAAACTGATTGGGTAAACTGAAAAAAGGACAACAACAAGCGCCATTTTTCTGCCCTCTCGATGTCCTCGTTGAGTTCTCTCCTCTCCAGCATCGCCATCAACAACATAAAACTCACTGTATAGGTTAACACAACAACCCTCTATTGTTCTGATTTCCAAGTGCTCTCAGAACTGCAGTCCAGTAACTACTATCTGTCATTGTTTTGGCGTAGTTAACATTGTGGTCGGAGCTGTCGGATCCTACCCTGCAATTTAAACAGAGAGGCTAAAAAGGCCAATTATAGGTCTGTTCCCATCGTTCCTACAGTGGGAAGCTGCCTTATGACTGCTTGTGGGGTAGAAAAAGCATGAACTTTTGTGGAGTTGCTTGTGAGAAACACTTTTAGAATTCACACACTATATCGTAAATATGATTTCACGACCCTTGCGTCTGGCTCTTCACCATATTGCCCAGAGTTATATCTGCTCTCTTACAACCACGCTGCTTTCCTGCTTATTTTACTTGTCAGTCATCACTCAAGCCAGCAGGAGGCAAAACAAGCCTCATCATCCTCAAGTGTTCGCTTCCAGACAGGAGGGCCAGCTGATGGATGAAAATAACATCCTGTCCCTCGGTCGACGTGTCGCCGATCCACTAAACATGCCTCTCGCTACATCCCCTGCCCCTTCATCAATCTCTTTTGTTTGTCTAATGCTCTGTGCGAATTGGTTCGCAGGTGAACGCGTCCCGCCAGGAGGGCAAGCTCTTGGAGGAGTGCGATGTCCTGATTGACATTATTCAGCAGAGGAGGCAGATCATTGGCAGCAAGATCAAAGAGGGGAAGGTGAGGTGAACACTCGGAGGGGTGAGGAGTGTGGATGCAGATAGCGTTTATTTTCCTCTGCTATTTTTATACCCATCTTTCACTGCATACATCTTGTCCTACGTCTGAGACACTGATTTCTGCATTTTTAGCTGAATAAACCCTGATTTGTTGCCCGTTTTAAAGCTACCCATCCGCCTTCATGTCATGCCGTTCTTCCAAAATGTCTTTCTTTCTTCTTTATTTAACATTAAATGTAACATTGCCATAATCCATCAGTCAACCATTCCATATTCGGCCGATACAAATGAACCCTCTCCTTCATTTAATGCGGTAGATCAGTGTGTTGATGACCACTATTCACAATCCAAAGCCTCATTTTGCCAGGGTTGATTGACTGTTAAGGCCATCACCTTCATTAATCACTTTTTAAACACACCGACATCGCTTTAAGATACCATCAGACCTCATTTTCGGCCCGACGCAACGCTCCATCTCAGCCACTTGACCTCATCTTGCCGACAGACGGCAAACTGTTCCGACGGTTGAAGTGCAAACCCTTCATCAGGTTCTGAACAGACGGGAAAAACAGTCCGAGTGGCCAAAAGTAGAATCCCAGAGCATATGGGAGGGCATGTTTACTTATACTCTAAACCCGGATGATTTTTTAAGCTGCGCCTAATGAGACTTGGAAAGCACCAGGGATTGTTTTTCACCATGTACCGCCGACTTCCCGTTAGTGCGACTGCATCGGGGAAGATACTTTCAGTTTGAGGCCAACTGACTTCTACAAATTGCTTTTTGGTGCAGTGCTAGATTATGATCAATAACTCTGAGTGCTCTCTTCTGAGGCAAACTTTCTTTTCTTAGTGGGGTCTTATGTTCCCATCCGTTTTAACATGTTGATGACTTTGCATATTTTGGTGGATTTAAATGGAGATTACAGAGTTTTGGGTTCTTTACAAGCCAAGGGCTGATGAAATGTCCTTTGACCTCAATCCGACCACTGACCTAAATCTGTCTCTTAAAATCTTTGCTCATAGGGAGAGAGAACGAAAGTGAGGGACAAACATTGGGAAATGAAATCCCAGATTTGTGGGCAATAGTTTCAAAAATTCCTGAAGCTCAACTCATGCAGTTGTCAAGCAGTTTGTCTGCTTTCTTTTCTAATAGATATCAACTTTCGCATAAAACTTAGTCGTAATTGCTTCCATACTTTGTTTTATTAGTCTACAACATAAAGAACATTTAACCTTCAAGTGTCAGGTTCATTTATCCTCGTAGCTGTAAAAGAACCAAGGTTTCAAAACAAAAACCTTGTCGAACAAGCGCAAGCGGGAAGGTCAAAACAAATCAGTTCTCTGGAACTTTCGCTAAGGAAGATAGATGCGTTCATGCCCTTTGCTATAATTTACATTCTCTGATGTTCAAACCAATTAAGAAACATGAAGAAATAGATGACTGCCTGCATCAGTCAACTCTCGCTTTGACCTTTCCGTGTATGAGAGACTTCACAATGCGAGCATCCATCTCCTTGTACCCATAAAACCTAATTTGGGTCATTTGATGTTCTCATGCGTAATGATGTGCAACACCTTTGCCTGGACGAGGAGATTTTCTCGCCGTCTCGCTTTTAAACGTGCAATCCATCCCAAACAGCGCAACCCTTGAGATTTCTCTTTGCCGTCCTTTCCAGACGCAAAGGCTTCGGAAGCTCGCCCAGCAGATCTCCAACTGCAAGCAGTGCATCGAGAGGTCCTCGGCTCTCATCACGCAGGCCGATCAGACGCTGAAAGAGACCGATCACGCTCGCTTCCTACAGACGGCCAAGAGCATCAACGAGAGGTCAGGCAGCCCACACACTGACCAGGCATCGCGGAATCACTCAGCTTATTAATACACAAAGGCCTAGCTGAAGGGAGAGGTTAAAGAGCGCGCGCACACATGCTAGGAAACACTTTGAAAACTTTGTGTACTTAACTTACCCGACAGCCAAGACAAGCAGAGAGGGATTTCATCTTTTATTTAGCTATAATCTTATTGCAGCCCCTGCTTAAGCTCTCTGACTAATTGATTTGGCAATTGAGAACAAAACCTGGTGTCCAATATGTGCATCCTCAGGAGAAACAAAGGGAGCGATATAAAAAGAAATCATTATCCTTTAGTCCTTCAAACAAAAGTAGTGTTTCAATCACAATCTAATCTGCACAGCCTCAGTAATTAGGCTGATTTACATTTCAATATTTTTTTCTAATTTGAGGACTTAATACTGTATATCTGTCTCTCTGCAATGATAACACTTACGATATTGACACACACAATACTGATAGTTGTACAAAGTCCAAATGCAGACTATTTGAAGAGCTACATCCTTCAAAACATTCAACACACACACATGTATAATTACAGAAAAGAGATATGTGTAAAAATCTGTTCGATTTCTGTTAATCATGATGCAGGGTTTCCATGGCGACCGCATCAACCCAAGTGCTGATCCCTGAGATACACTTAACCGACACCTTCGACACCTTTGCCCTGGACTTCACCAGAGAGAAGAAGCTGCTGGAGAATCTGGATTACCTCACTGGTAAACCTTTTTAGTTTTTATCCAGGCCTTTGGAGTCAGATCAGAGGAACAGTCCCTCTACGGTTGTTGGAGTGTATCGAAGATATATATTTAGAATGTCTTTTCCATGAAAATAATCCCTTCCTGCCCTTAAATTGCTTAGATGTAACTCTACACTGTTGGCTACTTTAGAATGTGCAGATCTATGAAAACTATTATCACTAATATACACTATACATTAAACTGTAGCCATACACATTTGAACTGCAAACTGATGAAGTATAATAGGAAAAGATCCACTCTGCAAGTCAATGAGCTGGGTCTTTAGATTGGTTTCATATGGAAAACATGCAAGTCTGAATCTATGTGTATGAGACAGTTATCAGCAAGTTTTCCAAGTGCAAATGCTCAGCCATGGCGTTGGCTACTTGTTTTGCTGAATGCATGTTTTCTAGTCTATATAACAACACCATATGGACACATGGACATGGTAAACAAACAAACAAACACACAAAAATATGACTTCCTCTAAAGGGAGACCAATTTGTGAAGAATGGCTCTTTTTCCGCTGGCTTGTTTTGAATGATTCAACACATTTAAACAATAGAAATATTCTTGACCATATCAGAAAGTCTGTGTTCTTAATCTATAACAATTTGGCTGACTACCTCAGTTGCCACATAGCATGGATGCATGTTCACATATAAATATGTGTGCATGTGAGCATTCATACTTGTATATGTGGATAACATTTTATTTCTTTTTTACATGTGCATATGCATTTCAAACATAAAACTTTTTTCTGAAGTACAGGGTTGGACAAAAGTTGCAGTGAACTAAGAAACCGTGTTGAATCCATATGACCTGAATAGCAAGAAACTCTAAATCTATATTTCATATGTTCACTGAGGAGCATCTTCAGACTGGATTCCTCATAATTCCTCATCCTCTATTTTTGATTATATTTATCTAACACACTCATGTACAAAGCTGGAAGCAACACTCAGTCTGCTAATACTCATGTGCTTTCAGGTCAGAATCACAGACCAACTGCTGTATCTATGATTTTTTTGATTCCACTTCTCACTGACTGTGAAAACCAAACATGGCTTTTAATTAAGATTCTATCCCAGCTTTAAATTTGGATTTTCAGAAGGAGAAAAAAAATCTTTTGAAGTCCCTGCTCTGTCTTCAAGCACTGTGTTTGAAGAAACAGACTTCAGCCTAATAACTCCAAAAATTAATTTTCAACATTAATTTCCGACGTCCCATTTTGCGGGGACCCATCAAAATGTCAGTGTATGAATTATGAGCGCGCTAAGGACGGAAAACAAGGCGTTGTGCGTGGCGGTTTTGAAGGTCTGTGAAAATGGCTGGCTGGTATTTATTCTCTGCGATGCATGAGGGCTTCGCTGGAGGGCCTTTTCGCTAAGTGAATCACTCCACTATGTGCAGCCACTCATGACAGAAGGCTCGGGAGAGGGGGAGAGAGTGACAGACACAGAAAGAGATAGGAAGTGGCTTTACAATCAATTTAAGCTGTGCCTTTGTATCTTTGTTTCTTTACCTCGGCCCGTTCTGTTTCTACTGGAGGCTTCATGGATTGAATACAAAAGGGGATTCGTTCCATTTATTTCTCTATAGACACGAAAACAGTTATAACATAATAAAGTTTTCCCGGTGAATCAATACGTGAGCCAATCTAGCGTCTCTGGTTATGTAACGACTCTCATTTGTTACCGCTAAAAGGATTGTTAAACGTACTCATCCCGCTGTGTTAATGTGGTCTGCTTTTTTTTTTATCTGAATATTTTATTGTTTCTCCCCTGCACTGCTTTTAATGCTCAACCTACCACTCTGCTGGAAAAGAGCATCTTCAATCCTGCGTGTAATGAAGCCTGCAAATTCATAAATTGAACCAAATGAACACGTACGAGGTTAATTAGGGCTACTGCTGTTGTAACAACTGACAACCTTTGAGTGTGTCATCACTTTGGAATATTGCTAATGCAATTTGCAACTTTATCCAAACAGACTGTAGCACTAAGGCCTGAGATGATGTTCTCTTTTCTTTGCAGCTCCAAGTGCTCCGTGCATAAGGGAAGAGTTGTGCACGGCCTCCTACGACACCATCACTGTCCACTGGACGTCCGATGATGAGTTCACGGTGGTGTCCTATGAGCTCCAGTACGCCATCTTTACTGGACAGTCCAACATTGCCAGTAAGTAACCGTTACTATGCAGAGGTTTGCAGTGCAGCAACTATATGTGGCTGATAAGGGAACAATGCAATCAGATTGGATTTTAAAGCCTATGGAGGCAGAATGGATCTTCAAACAAACTAGAGGACATGTCCAACGTCAGTCTGCTGTCTTCCATCCATCCATCCATCCATCCATTATCTATACACCGCTTAATCCTCACTAGGGTCCCCAGGGGGCTGGACCCTATCCCAGCTGAGTTAGGGCAAAGGCAGGGGACACCCTGGACAGGTCACCAGTCTATCACAGGGCTACACTTAGAGACAGACAACCAAGCACACTCAATTAGGATTAGAAACAATTTAGAATCACCAACCTCAGCATGTTTTTGGACCTTGTGGGAGGAAGCCAGAGAACCCAGGGTATACATACAAACTCCACGCAGAAAGATCCCGGCTGTACTCACCGGGACGCAAACCGGCAACCTTCTAATTGCAAAGCAACGATGCTAACCACTGCTCTACCTTGCAGCCTGGTCAGCTGTCTAAATTAGTTGTAGTAGCCATTTTTAGGGCTGTAGCTCCTCATGTTATTCCTGAATATTTGGGTGTATATTCATGACATTACAAAAATTAGATTTTCGCAGTTAATGACATGTTTTGTGGTTAACACTTTAAATGTGACACTGCTGTTCCCAAATGTTCTCTTGGACATTCAACTGAGCCTTGGTCTTCCCGCAATATTTTTCCGTGAAGCGCACTTTGGGCTACTTTTCACCATTTCTGTTGCCTTTGTGGTAATATTTTATTAAAGAGCATAAAAGAAGAAGCCTGTCCATTTCCTCCATAAAAGGACACAGATTTGTGCTGATATGACGGCATACGTATGGTTTAAGGTCATATAGTTAGCAGGCAAATATGGAACAATGCATCTCAGGCAATGCAAAAGTAAAGAATAGTGTAAGAAATGGCTTTCTATAGGGATTTGATAGGTACAAAGAAAACAAAAAAAATGCACGACTGTTTCACCCCCAACACTGCTGAAGCTTTTCAAACCATGAGCTGCACCTCCCCAGAGGGCCAAGTTAAAGGGGTCCATTCACTCAGCTCTTATAGCAGTAGCTCATATAAGCAATTAAGTTACTTTAAGACTCTTAGCATCTAATTAATGCAAATGCAATTGTACGCTTGCCTCACAGAGTAATGTATAACCATACATATATCCTCTTAGAAACAGGAAGTACAGATATGCCACTTATAGACACAGTGACTCTCAGGAAAGTTTATGCTCTCGGGTTTTGCAATCCAGTAAGGAACTGCTTTAAGGCAATTTAGCCTTCCTTTGGTGCCAATATAAATAAAGGCTAAGAACAGGGCAGGTTGTAGGACACAGCATTACACTGACTGTTTACATCCTCCAAAAATCAGCCTGTGATTAACTACCAAATAGAGTATGATAAAAGATGAAAGTGGTGGCCGTAAACTTTTGTTATATGATGTTAAATCGACATTTGGACATGTTTACCAAAAGAAACAACACTTGCAACCCGTGCATGAGAGTACAGGAGAAGTGAAACAAGGCATTGGCTGTAATCGTGCAGAAATTCCTTTTTAGAAAGAGGCTCCAGATGGCTTTAAAACGGCTTATTTAGAACATAGGAAGTCAAATTTTAATTTAATTTTTTCTTTGTAACTAGTTGCAGAGTATTTACAGATCTGCACCACTGCTGGCCACTAGCTCCCCTAAGCAGCTGTGAGCTGAAGTGCTTTTCTAAAAGCTGAGATAGCGCTGAAGTGGAACCTCCTGAAGTGAAGCCTCTGGCCTTTCTGCTGCTATCACCCTCAGATGTTGTCACACATCAAATCACTGCGGCTTGTGAAGGATGAAAGGGGGGGGAATATGATTTGAAAACAGTGCTGTGTCGGCACGAGATTCGGCGGATATCCACAGTTCCATACATGCAAAAGGTTTAAGTGGCACTAAAGGAGTGAAATGTCGTATCGAGGCGAGATGACAGCTGGAAAATGAATCCCTGACACACAGTTAGTGACACGACGTCTTGTCGAACAACAACAGGCACACGCAGGTACGCGCAAATACACACAAGACCCAGAAAATCGCGAGCACACTCCAGTGAGCAACAACTACAAGGAAGAAAATGGGGTCAGGGCACTTGAAGACGAGCTCTCCTGCTCCCTTTAAATCTAACTGCCTTTCCTCTGTCATTCATCTATTCTTTTTTTTTCTTCTTTTAGGATTCAAACAGAATTACCTCACCGCAAAAAAAAAAAAATAAATCACTGCCATCCTGCCCTTTCCACTTCATGTCAGCCTCTTTTGCTTCAACTCTGTACGCCTCCATGTTTCATTTGTTTTCCTCCCGTCTTCCCAAGGTTACACCTTTGTCATTGCCTTCTCATTACTCTACGGTTTAAAGCATATTTAGAACTGGCAGCTATTAAACTAATGTGACACTTCATTTCCCTGTTGCTTTCAAATCCCTGTCTCCTTCTGTTCAATAAGGCGCCGCGATTTTTCTCTCCTCCTGTTATCGCATCCGGTAATGTCAGAGGTTGTTGCTGTTGGCATCTAAGTCACGTGCGAGAGAATTCCCTCCGGAGCATTTCGGATGAATCACTATGCAAGGAGTGGAAGTCTTGCAATACTAATGCAATAAAACATTAAAAAAAAAAAAAAAAAACACCCAACATCCTTAACTCTGATGCATAATTGTTTAGTACAGCCTTGGGAATTAGATTTCCTGTTGGAACTGTGTGACGAGATGATAAGGGAAGTCAAACGCTCTTTCTTATCTGCCATTGGTATCTGATATACATGGAACTGCAAGATTTCTTTTTAATTTTAATTAATGTTCTCACCTGAAGCCTTATAGTATAATTCCAGTAGGAATAATAACTCTCACAGTTGGATTTTAGCAATTACCTGCATACTTTCCTGCTCTATTTATAATGTCCTAATTTTTTCTTATGGCCTCTTTTGATCTTGGTTAGTTAGATCAAAACTGATTGTGTATTTAGTGGATTCTAGTATTTTCCTGGATTACCTTAAGTCATTTTTTAATCAAAAAAATTATTCTAATAAAGGATTTAAATTGGAAACACACACAGGATTCACGTGATTTTAAACAGTAACATGTATTAAATATAGTTCTTAGAAAATATATTCATTAAAGCAGGTGTCTGATAATGTTCATTTGCAAATAAAATAACTTTATTAAACATATTAACAAAGTATGGGATTGAAAAATAGCTCAACCACACTGAGGTGAAATCATGCTAGCATGCTAAGCTAGCAATCTTTGGCAGGAGTTTAGCTAACTACGCACAATTAGCATACCGTTACCTAAATATTTCCATGTCATTATAATTTCTAATATGTTAAACAACTTTAGAGGGTCTTTATTTTTTTAAATTATTATTAATTTTGACCAGATATTTAGCTTTATGTTTTGGCATGGAAGGCAGTAAAGCTGCATGGTATTAGCATAGCCACTGGGTGACCTTTTTCAAACTATTGGTGACTGTTTATGTCTATTTTTCAACATATTTTTTGTGGCTTGGACATGGTGAATACACGTTAAGCAAGACTATAACATTAAAAAGTGAATTTAAGGGGCTCATTCCATGACTTTCACTTCTGGGTGGCCAACAGCAGCATAGCAGGCCCTTGAATGAGCGCCTTAGGCAAACAAAGCCAAGACACGGAGGGAAAACGTACACTCTCATATCTACACGCACACCTTAGGAGGTGAGCGGTGATGAAGTGCCATAAAACGCATGCCGAAGACGCGCGGCGGGGTGAGCGTAGTGCTGCTACGAAGCCAACGAGGTGTGAATAGTTCCTCTTGTGCCTTTTCACAGCCTCTCACCTGAACTCGCTGCCACAGCTTTGCACACGCTCAGTTATTTAGTGCGCCGTCCATTCACATAGCTGTACATCACTCCTCTCCAGGAAACTCTTAAGCAAAGAATTTTTCCTTTTATTTGCTATTTGCTGCTGAAAGCGCCTTTAGTTCCACAAGTTTCCTCCTTCCAGACTTTGTCCTTTAAATAAAGTTGACGTTTAAATGCATTTAAACTGCTGAACAACTGAAAACTTACAGGAGATACCATCTGGGTGAATTAACTGACTGTACATTGAATCTTCCCTCCTGCTCTTCTTCTCTTATCTCGTCCTCCCTTTCCCCCCTTCCTCGCCTCCCAGGTCTGTGCAACTCCTTGGAAAGTTGGATGATTGTACCCAACATCAAGCAGAACCACTACACAGTGCACGGTCTGCAGAGCGGCACCAAGTATATCTTTGTTGTCAAGGCCATTAACCAAGCGGGAAGCAGGAGCAGCGAACCGGGGACTCTCAAGACCAACAGTAAGAAAATAAAAAAACTGAAACAGAACTGATGGTTTGTTTCATCTTTAAAAGAAAAAAAAAAGAAATTTAATTAACTGAAAATAAATCATGTGAGGGATGTGGGCTATTACTGATCTATGCACTCGACATGTAATAGCTTCTTTTCCCTTTCTTTTTTTTACAACCAGGCCAACCGTTCAAGCTTGACCCCAAATCTGCTCACAAGAAGCTCAAGGTCTCCCACGATAACCTGACAGTGGAGCGGGACGAAACCACGTCCAAGAAAGGCCACAGCCAGGAGCGCTTCACCAGCCAGAGCAGCTATGGCGTGGTGGGAAATGTCTACATCGACAGCGGGCGTCACTACTGGGAGGCTCTGATTGGAGGGAGCACATGGTGAGTATCGGAGTCTGCTTGGTTACGTTTTTTGGTTTCACAGGAGATAAGAGGCTGTTCCTCCTTTCTATAGGTACGCTGTGGGCATCGCCTACAAATCGGCCCCTAAGCACGAGTGGATCGGCAAGAACTCGGCCTCCTGGGTGCTCTGCCGCTGCAACAACTCCTGGGTGGTTCGCCACAACAGCAAGGAGCTGGCCATCGAGCCGTCGCCCCACCTGCGGCGCGTCGGGGTCCTGCTGGACTACGACGCCGGATACCTGACCTTCTACGACGCCGTGGGATCCCAGCACCTGCACACGTTTCACGTCTCCTTCGTCCAGCCCGTGTGCCCCGTGTTCAACGTGTGGAACAAGTGTCTGACGATCCTCACCGGCCTGCCCATCCCCGACCATTTGGAGGGACTGGAGCCTCACAACTGAACGCCACAGACGGACGAGAATAACTGAGCATTATATCTTAAAGCTGCACTTGGGCGAGGGTTGTGAAAATGCTCGTCTTTGGACAGAGAACAGAGGAGCGATCCGTCATCTTTAATTCATACAGATCTGCTCTATTTACTCAAATTAAATTCGGTTCATGTGCACTTTTGCACCCAGAGGCGATGACAAAACAGTGAAATATAAACTGCCTCCTCGCTTAGCAGCAACTAGCAACTCACTGGTGTCTGATATGCTCTTCTTCTACCATTTGTTTTGTTTTTATACATGCAGACAGACTTGTCTCCATGCGAGTATCCCAGTCAATCACTTCTGCAGACAAAAAACAAAACTTGCGAGCATTCATACGAAGCTACCTAGTGCAGCTTTAACGTGCAAAAGAAATGCCCGGGGTGTTATTTTGTCACGCTTCTCAAAAGCGATTTTCATTTCATTCTGATTTCTAAATGCAAATATGATGCTGTTTGAAAGTTGTGTTAGACTTTATAAGGCTTAGTGAAAACCCAGTCCAGATGGATTGACTATAAACTGGAGTCGGTCCAGGACAGTGTTGGACTAGACTACTCGAAGGCACTTTGGTCTACAATGGGCATATTTGTACCAACTAGGAAACAAGCCACAAATCAATTTTCCTTTTTTTTTTCACCTTATCAAATATAGCACTTTGAAAACCCCTGAACACACAAAATCATGGACACTGCAATCGATCGCTGGAAAGAGCAGAATAACAGATGTATATTTTGTAAAGTCCTCGCATTGCCCGCCCCTCCGCTTTTCCCCCTTTTCATTAAAAAGGAACCAAAGTAGCCATTGCTGTCTGTTCAGACGCTCCACCATAACAAATGCTGAATTATTTTTAAGATGTGACGGAGAGAGAAGCGTTCTGCTAATGTTAAATTGCAGGTTTCCCTTAAATGTAGACCTTGTTTTTTTGCACATACTTTACTCACGGTTTTGTAGCCTAAAATTCATTTCGGTGCAATTAACATGCATTTGTATTGGGAACGTGTTGTTATGTTTTGTCTTTTGTTTTCTGGCAATCATACAGGTCCTGTCGTTATGATTTTGCATAATGTTGTGTTACAGTCGTAGCCCTGGGTTGTTAATGAAGAGAAGGCGTTAAAAATGCACATTCGGGTGTCATTTTTTCTCTCACTTTTCTGCAGCATATGGACGTACAGTGAGACACATCTGCGCCGGAGTACACCAGAGTCATTTGTTTGCTTTTAATTAAGAGTGTTATCTTTTCGAAAAAAATTTTACATGCTGTTTTAACACTTTCGTCAAATATTAAGTTGCTCTATGAAATCACACTTCACTTTATTAAGGCCCATGCACACAGGGGGCTGCTCTCAGACTTGTTGCACAATCATGATGTCAATAGGCTGCACCTCATTTTTTACTTCAGTCAGTGGCTAAATCTTGATTTTCCTTCATTTTTCCTACTTAAAAGGGACAAAATGAGATTTAGCCAATGATGCTAAAACCCTTCCAACAAAACCCCCCTAAAAGGGACACAGTCAAGTCAGATCATTTAGATTTGTTCTATATGTAATAATGGTTAACAAAAATGTAAATATAAAGAGATTTGGTTCCAGTACACTTCTGAAAGTTTTTTTTTTAATTCTGTGTTTTCATGGCAATACATCAAACTGTGTGTTTCATTGTATCTGATATATAGTGCTTAATTTAATGTTTCCATTTGAACTTTATGACCATGGTGTTCTATGTTCTGTCTCTGTGGACATTTTTATGGGAAAAAAAACGAGTGCTTGCATCACCGTCGTCTGAGATAAGTCTATGAGAAAATAAACATTGTTCCTTTTCACATTAAAGCCTGATCTTTCTTCCCGCGGTGAAGCAATATTGCGATGCATGTGAGAATGTCATGAGCCGATCTCATAACAAAACAGGTAGAGGGGGGAGGTGGAAATGCCAGGAGCCGTTTCTGTCTTTGTGGGGAGGCGTGAAAACAAAGATCTCATTTTGTGAAAATTCAAGCGGGTCCCCGAATTCAATAAGTTTGGCATTTTGGTCTGAGTAAAAGTTAGCGGCGCCCTTCCAGAAGGTGCTGCACTTGTAAGCAAGAAGGAGTCGTTGGTAATGAATATTTTTACATCAACCGCCGCTTCACACTTACAGGAACAAATGCTGCACAAGGCATCAGAGAGCATTTTCACCTCCACATCATAAATCACAACGTCTCGACCTCTACTTTGCGGAGTTCACTCGAGTTTATGAATTTCCTCCGGAAGAGGAAGTCGTCAGGTTTATCTCGTGAGCTTCCCGCGGACATCGGGGGCTCTTCCTGATTTTCCGGGAGCAATTGTTCTTGGACGCCGTGGGGGCTCGGCGGGGTTTCATCGCTGAGACTGTAGCATTAGCCGGCGCTTTTGTGTGTCGTTTCACACGGTTCAGTGGTGTGAGCGGGCAAAATGAGTTTACCCGGCGCTCCGGTGAGCAAACAATAGCAAGGACACAAAGACAATTTACAGGTCGCTATCTGCAAATAATGGAGGTGTGTTTGTCTGTAATTCAACCTGTAATACAAAAGATAGCATGGATGGATCTCTCTGTTACTAGTCGCCACTTTGTGAAACACAAAATATGCTTTTAATGTAAGTGTTTTTATAATAACTTTACTTTGGCACAATAAACTAATTTTAAATGTGTCAACACTCAAAGTGCAGCAAAGCGATCTGGGTTACTGACTGGCTGTGATCATGTCATCACAACGGGTTTCACAATGTTGCATATGTGACACAAATTACACTCATTGCATATTGAACACATGCGATCATGAGTCACGGTATGAAGCCTTCTCTAAAAGGCGTCTTCCATAGAGAGAAACTATCTATATTCAGGTGACATCTACTACCTCATTTTCTTTAGTTATCGCAAAGTAATCGCATTTATATTGTCAAAAAATGAATTTTCCAGGCCTAAATTGTGACCTTTCCTTCAGTCTCAATACAATCTGAGCCAAATTCAGCAGCTAAATGTGCATCCTGACCCTCTTGTGTTCTCATGTGACATTTCAAGCAATCGATACAGTAACTTAATGTGTGTTGTTTTTTTTGCTGCTCGCCTGAAATTTACCGCAAAGGTTTCTGGAGCAACTATTTTATTAACCTTTATCACGGGGACGGATCTGCTGAGCTTGTGTTGTTTTTCTACACAACCTGTGTATATTCACACGTGACGACTGGTGTGAATGTCCGGCAGCTTAAACAGCTCGAGCTATTTTTATTTATTTATTTTTTTGTTACCCTCAAGGGCACCTTGAGTATACTTTAGCGAGAAGTAGAGACTGTTACTCATTCAGTATTTCCCCCATGGGAATTTGAACCCTGCTGACCCTCCTTCACAATACCACTTCACTTTCCTTTAGGCAAACACTGTCCCACTTTTGTACATCGTATCGGGCCGGAGCCGCTTCAGTGTGTTGCTGTTTTGCTGCTACCACCGCAAACTGCACTCTTGTCTGGGCAGTCTTGAGGCTCTGCAGTCCCCTGAGGATTTTTTACAGCCAAGCCACAGCACAGAGAGAGAGAGACTCCAAAAGACACAGCATCTGAACTCCTGGGGGAGCTGTGCATGTACTCTGTAGGCTCCAGCCATCCTAATACATATATACAGTTATATATGTGTGTGTGTGTGTGGAGTAAGTACGGGCATGCATCAGCAGCTAGTTGCTCCTAACAGTTTGGCATTTGAAGTAAATAGGCAGTTGCAGCATTTTGAAACGAGCAGATGAGCAATAAGAGTGACTCCCTCAGGAGTGGATCTGGAAAATGGGGCAGAATATGGTACAGGAGCACTGTAATGACAAACATGAAGCTGAGTCTGACGATTGCATTACTAACTCCAAAGCATCTATTTTATATTAAAATGCTGTGCGTGTGCTTCCATGATAGTAGTTTTGTGCATATAGAATTTCAATCACCCATAACTGATGACACCCCACCCTCATTATGTGGTGATACAATATGATATTTAAGAAAAATCAAACAACTTAAGTTTATATTCCTACAACATCAGTCATCTTTGTAGCTGTCTGTGCAGGAGCCTTTTTCATTGTGCTCTCTTTTTAGCTCAGTGAAAATCACTCCCATGAATGTCCAGCAGATGTCACTGTTAAGATTCAAGACAAACAAGCACACATGCCCCCGACAGAAAAGTCTGCTGATTATTGACAGTGAACGGCAACAGAATGATTATTGAACTCCTCTAGACCAGGTTTATGTGCACTTATGTCTGTTATTCTGTAGAGACATAAATATGGGAGGATCCCCCTCTCATTTGGAAGCATTAAAGTGAAGGGTAAAGATTTGGTTTAAGGTTAAAGGGTCAGTGATAAAAAGGTAGATCTCTAAGACATGAATGGATGCAATGTCCACTGAAGTGATGGAAACATGACTCTGAGTGTATGTGTCAATGCTTGTGTCAAAGAAAGGATTATGTCCAGGGAGACAAATCAATTGATGACACTTGCTAATCTGTACATATTTATGTATTACATATGTGTAAAAAGGCTGCAAGGTGGCCCACTTGGTAGCACTGTTGCCTAGCAGCAAGAAGGTCGCCAGTTTGCGTCCCGGGATCTTTCTGAGTTTGCATGTTCCTCCCACAGTCCAAAAACATGTTGAGGTTAATTGGTGACTCTAAAATTGTCTGTAGGTGTGAATGTGAGTGTGCTTGGTTGTCTGTCTCTAAGTGTAGCCCTGTGATAGACTGGTGACCTGTCCAGGGTGTCCCCTGCCTTCACCCTAAGTCAGCTGGGACAGACTCCAGCCCCTACACAAGCCTAGTGAGGATTAAGCGGTGTATAGATAATGGATGGATGGATATGTGTAAAAGTCTCTAGTTCAAATCTGGTCAAAACACAAACTGACCATGTCCATTTATCTCATGTCACACATCCTGTTTCTGCTTATTTAACCTTTATTACACTAAAGTGAGAACATGAATGAATGAAATGCAGTTCCTTCTCTCTGTTGGTCATTTTGGGATTTCTCTAACCCACTATTAAATCCTCACAAGTCACTGCATTATTAGAAACCAGCGGTGTGTCTATTCTGGGATGTGGGCAGAGAAAATGTGCTGAGTGTGCTATAAGTCTTGACTGCAGTCATAATGTTTCAGCAGTGTTTTGAAAATGCAATCAATATGCAATCAGGAGCTTGTCGGTCATTTTCTTTATTCCTAAAGGGGATTTGGTTGCTGGACTGATTGTGTTTGTGTTACCCTTTTTTTCCCATTCAAGTTCAGAGCAGACACATATGCAATTGGCTGCAGCTGACCATGCTGACAAAATAAGGTCTGGCTGGAGAGGGAACTTTTCCAAGTTTCTCGGGAAGTGTCAAAAACAGTGTAGGTGAGAAACAGAGCAGCGGCTCTTGGAGGTCGGCAAAGCAAACAAACATAAAAATTCAGCCTAAATGAAGTGTCCGTGGTATTGCCTGCGCGGGTGAAAGACACAATGGGGGCATAAACAGTGTGAATACCTTCCTCAGATTTGACAACTCCAAAAAATGACACACAGCTGGATCCCCATTAAGGACATTTGGAGACAAAATTACACCCAATTTGGAAGTCATCAGCCCATTAAATGGCCATTGTCGCCACACCTCAAAATCATATGTGGGACCAACATTGACCTTCTGCTTGGCTAAAAGGTGCATTATCATCCATTCTGATAATGATAAACAGGAAGTAATCCCAGTAACACAGGCAACATCTTGTTTGATATAAACATATAAGCTTGCTTGACTTCTGCCACCACCGACCCTTCAAACCACCCAATGTGAGCTTTTGTTCCTGCTTTTGCTCCACCACCATTAAATGACAGACTACTACGTTAAGTTGGAAGAGGTCCCTATTGGCCCATATATATGGTAATGATGCCCGGGAAATTTATTGATGCTATTATAACGTCCAAACTGGGTAAATGTCATTCTAAAACGCAGTTCTTTGCTACCTTTTGTCCCGTTTTAAGACTTTTCAACATCTCAACCTGCACTCACAATGCTTGCGGTTTTCAGGTTTCAATTTCTACCCATCATGCAACACCAAAGAGGCATCTGATGAGCCCTCTGAGAGTCCATCGTCAACTACAAGAAGAACAAGGACTCCTGCAACAGATGGGTCAACCCCCTACAAGCCCTAATGTCAACATCATCGGGTCAGTCTGGGAACATATGAAAAGATAGACATCAAGATGGCTGAATCCACATCATATATTATTTGTCTTCATTACACTGTGGATGAAGTTAACTAAAAAATAAACACGGTTATTATTTTTGAAAGCACCCTCACTTTGCTATGAGTGCCTAAAACTTCTGCACAGCGCTGTACATCCGATGCAAATTGCGAGCATGATTGATCGCAACAATCACTGCCTCTGAGGCAAATTGCCGACAATTGCTTCAAAAAAGGTACGAGTGAGATAAAAATACATTAATTTTCGAGTCTCGCAATGAAGTGAAGAATGTCAAATGCAAATCTAACTGAGAGGTGAATAATTTGCGGCAGAACTAGTGCAGCATAATGCACTTCACGCCCCTCCAGCTCCGTTCTATAAGCCGCATGGGCGCTTCTTTCATCCACTTTATTTGTATTTGTGTCTTCCAGCCACATAAAAGCCGGTTCCCAGGCTACGAGTTTGAAGCGGGAGCATTTGCGAACACCTGAGATGTCAGAGAGGCTGTCCTTCGAACAGAAAAAAGAACAGACCCATGCCTTGTGTGAACAAGCTGAGAGTGTCTGTGAGTAAGACACTGAGTACTTGCCACATCCAGAGATGCTGTTCAGTGGCTTGTGCCTTTTATCCTAA